CGAAACATAAATTCCAACATCTTTTCAAAACAAAAACTTTTTTACCTTTTTATCTGACTTTTTATCACTTTTTAGTCTAACTGTAGTTTTTAGAGTTTTTAAATCATTTTTAAATCTCTGTGTGTGTCTTTCGTTAAAATTAAGACTGATAAACATCGAATTAAATTCCACACTCTCTGAGGGATCGACTTGGACTCTTTAGGTTCACTTTTACTACTTGTTCTCCACCCGTGCACTTGCGGCATAGAATCACAGGCGAACAAGTATCCTGACTATAGAGAATAGTATCCCTAAAAGTCACATATGATGGCGACAGTGAACACAACAACATCAAAGCCAAGTCCTCCTCGTCATACTTAACCTCCAATGTCTCCAAATCAGCCACAATTTCTTTGAACATAATTAAGTGGTCATCCAATGATGCACATTCAGACATTTGGTGAGAATACAAGCGCTGTTTCAAATGTAGCTAGCTTGCTGGTTAAGCTCTTTTTCATGTAAAGTTGCTCCAACTTCAACCACAATGCAGCGGTACCATTTTCCTTAAGAACATCCTGAACAATTTGATTTGAGAAATGTAGATGAATTTGAGATTGGGCTTTCCGATCCCTATGTTGCTTTTCATCTTGCATCAAGGTAGTAGACATCCTATCAAAGCCAAGCAAGGCTTCCTCCAAATCCATCTGCGCCAACACCACTCGTATCTTCACTTGCCATAATGTGAATCTCATGTTTTTATCCAACAACGGAATGTCATACTTCATTGTCGCCGAATGGAACAATTAATCTTGCGCTCTGATACCACTTGTTATAAAACTGATCATAAGATAATGATAATAATGAAATAATGAAGAAGAAAATAAGAACACAAGAATTTTTGTGGAAACCCAATTCGGGAAAAAACTACGGGAAGAGGAGAACAATCCACTATAATCAATAGTTTTGTACTTACAATATCAAGATTTCAATAATCTCAATTGAAATCTAAACTCTCAATCTCTCAATATGCTGTTGAAGGTGTAAAGAATAATATATGAATGTTCTATTAATATGTTGTTGAAGATGTAAATAATATTATATGAATGTTGTATTATGGAGTTACAA